TCTCTCTCTCTCTCTCTCTCTCTCTCTCTCTCTCTCTCTCTCTCTCTCTCTCTCTCTCTCTCTCTCTCTCCCTCTTTAAAATCTCTCTCTCTCTTGAATTCCTCTTCTCATTTCTTCTCTGAGCTTCGTTCGCAACTACCGCAGGCGTTCATCTTCCCGCTCGTGCATCATCCCGCTCGGTTATTCCACCACTAACTACGTCGACACTTTGAAAATGACCATGTTCTCCAGTTCCTTCAACACTTTAACGGTCATTTTTGCGGTAAACACGTCGTCCTCGTCATCTGACTCCATCGTCCATTCGTCTTCCACTTTTGTCGCTTTCTGCCTCTTTCCTGATCGATCGTCACCCTCTGCAGGTTTTCCAAGCCTCTTGTTTTTGCCTACAAGGGCTCGTGCTTCCATCTCCGCTGTTTTCAGTGCTCCTTTGATAACTTTTCCAAAATTACTTCTTCTTTCCGCTTCCCGTTGCTTGATGGTCAATTCAAAATCAATATCACGGACACGGTCTTCGAGATCCTTCAGACTGTGCTTCGCTGCACGGATTTTGGCTGTAAGAATTTGAAGCTCTTCCCGTAATTCCTGACACTTTTTGTTTCTTTCCCCCTCCATTTTGGTACTTTCTTCAACTAGTATGCTCAGCCCGCTCCTTGCCGCTCCTTCCCCTGTTACAGGTCATATTTTCAGCTCCTTTATTTTATCTTTCATTTTCTTTTCTCCATGACCATTCGACAAACCTACTTAAACGAACTTCGTTATTAACTCGAAAATGTAATATCACACTAGATCTTATCAATGGCAATTCGTTGCGTCTCGACCAAGAGAGTAATTGGGTACTTGTCAACGGCTGACCAATGCACTGTTGGACGACCAGGTGAAGGTGTGCCTAATCAACCATTGGGTCTAAGCAAAAACCTTTCTCTATTTTCACAGCGACTTGCTTCTCATATAGGCGAAGTAGCCAGTATTTTGCCCAGCTATTGATGCCGCGCCATTTCCCGCCCTGCGCGCTAAGTTATGTTGAGCCGCCGCGACGCCGTTTCGTTTCAGTTTTGCCTGGCACCTCCAGCGTGCGCGGTCCGGTAGGCCGAAGCACGGGTTTCCCGTAGCGTTAACACTAAGGGCGCGCGGTCGATGTATGGCCCAAGTACTGGTGGTTTAACAAACAATCGTATTTGGAAGCAACGACTTGTAAATCTTGCTACTGTCACTGTATTCAATTTTCGAGGTTGTCCTGAGATACAAAAAGGGGCTCAATCTACTGCCCCTAAAAATTTTTGAAATGGTCTCTGCATGTGAGCGGAGAGGTTGACAAGTCCGTCGCGAAGGAGTGTTGACTCTTAAGTGCTTTCCTTCCGTTGATTTCAGGTTGGGAAAAGTACTCCTTGTAAGACCTCTTCACATACTATAATACTGATCGTCCGAGGGAAGGGCTGCATAGCTCGGGGATGTACTAGTGGTTTAACAATGATCGTCCCTGTCACGGACTCACAATATGACGACTCCTTTAAGGGCTCTTCTGAATCGCTCCACGTGCTCCGAAGACACCTTTCATCAATACGTCTGGTCGTTCTCATTGGTCAGTTTTCACCAATGTGTGGTCATCTAGTATAGTGCAACCTTCGAATTGTATCTTCTCGTTCCGTGATCAGTTTGGTGATAGGTTAGTTGCAAAGATCAGTGCTCTCTCTCTCTCGCACACTCTCCCCCCCGCTCTGTGTGTGTGTGGATTAAGTCGGCCCATTCCCTGTATGTATTGTTGCTTCGTTCGATAACCGGTTCGGTGCTTCGATCAATGCTTCGTTCCTTGGTTCAGTGCATGGTTTTGTGCTTGGGCAGGCACTTGGTTCAATGCATGGTTCGATGCTTGGTTGAGTGCTTGGATCGGTGCTTCGTTCGGAGCTTGCTTCACTACGTGTTTCGATACTTGGATTGGCTTGATCAATCTCTGCCGTTCGGTTTTTGCATCTGTTCATTGTTTACTGCTACGCTCCGTACTCCCTTTCGGTGCTTCGGTCAGTGCTTACACCCATGGTTGGATCGTGTTGCGTTCTGGTTCCGGCTAGGTGTTTGGGTCTGTTCTTGGTTCAGTGTTTTGAATATGTCTTTGGCTCAGTGCTTCGTTGATTGCAGGTTGGAGCGAAGCTTGGTTTGCTACTCCGTTCGCTATTTGGATCGGTGCTCTGTCTCTCTCTCTCTATGGATTCGGTCCGCCAATCCCCACTTCGATCGTTGCTTCGTTCGATTATAGGTTTGGTGCTCGGATCAGAGGTTGCCTTTCAAAATTACATTTTCAGGAAACAATTGAGCCCGCGGGTTTAGTCTGGGCTCTACCCAGTTCCCTTCCACTTTAGATTATTTATGCTCTCCAAGTGGGAAGCGAGGGAAGCCACGTTGAATGATAACAATACCCCTGATATCATGACACAGAAATGACATTTTCCCAACGGTTCTATCATTTTCTTTAAAAGAAAAACGATTCCCTCACTTTGTCGCAGATTGTCTGCAATATCACTATTCAACAACCATTGACAGAACTTCCTGATCATTCTTTTTTGAACTAACAATTTCACCTTCTCACCGACTACATAAATTGTTGCCCGATTCAAGAGTACTGCCCAATAATGAACGACCTATGTAAAACCACATAGCTCATGTTTCTCCAACAATTCCGTTCACTCACAGGCTTCAGATGGCAACAGCGGAAAAAACAATGGACTCCGCCGAGAGACGAACAACGAGGAAATGACAAGGCCCTGAACACTCATGCAGATACCAAGCGACAACGAGAAGCGAACACTATGTCATTGGGTTGGTGACTTAACTTCATTTCAAAATGCATCACCGAAGATATTAAACATTGGTTGGTTGATTGAATGATTAACTGATTGGTTTGTTTGATTGGTTGATTCATATCCTTATTACTTGGGCAGACGAAATAGTCTTTTTTTTTTTAATAAGAACCACTAAATTGATTGGTCAGAAGCTTGATTTGTTGATCGGTCGGTTGATTGAATTATCGGTATGAACCACTATCAATAAACAGTCAAAAAAAAATATTTGTAAAGCATTTAATAAAGAATAACATTTGGAACGTGGTGTCCTTATGCACCACTCAACGAACTGGTAAGACCCCGCAAAACAATTGCGCATGTACTTAGACCAGCGTTCACCCTCTCTCCCTCTGTACTACTCAATTATGTTGGTGACAACTGCCCGGTTGGAATAGACAATACTCGGCGTACGAAGAAAGTTGGTATGAATACTGGAGCGAAAACAAATAGACTGCTTCACAATGTTTAATCAATAGTGGTTCCAAACATTCTGATAATGACTCACTGATTTTGAGAATGATCTCTCTCTCTCTCTCTCTCTCTCTCTCTCTTGTGTCTGTACTAAGGTTGCGAAGAAAGTTGGTGGGGATAGTGGACTTGGAAAATTATACTGGACCGAAAAAAATAAGTTGCCGATGAGAGTAGTTTATCAATTAACACCTTTTGTAACAATGCTCTATACAAGGGTGGGAAAAAAAACGATAAACAATAAGCAAAGACTATTCTTCCAGGAATAATCGGGTAGATTCTGAATATGGTCTCATGGAGCAAGCAAAGATTTCGTCCCGTAGCAAGGCTCTATACAAAGAGAGAAACTAAAAAATGAAAAACAACAAGCAAAGACTTTCATCGAGGAGCAGTCAGATACATTCTGAAATTGGACATAGTAAGATACCGTGAGGAGCAAGCTATGAGTATCTGTTGTGCCAACCAGCTCCAGAATGAGGAAACATGCCACTGTCCAACATGAATTCTACTAAGTGCCTAAAGAGCTTAGCCCGTATCCCATCAGGGGTGCACTTATCGACCGGACGATGAAAACGATCATAATACATGAAGGGGGTGTGATATGTACGATACACATATTGCTTTTGGTAATCCATCCTATAATACGGACACTGTGCTGCACGATGAGCACATGTTCTCTTGCAGTAAAAATATTATTCCTCTACCACATGCCCATACCTTTCCCCCTGCAACTGCACATATCCTCGCAGTTGCTCTGACTTTTGTGCCATCCCCTCCTGTCTTTTCTCTTCCTCCATATTTCCCTCCTTCCTTTCCACGAGTTCCCGCTCCCTTTCTTGTCTCTCCTCCCCCTCCTGTCTTTCCTCACCCTCCGCATAATTCCCTCCTCTGTCGTGTCCTTGCTCCATCTGCTGTGTTTCATCTTTCTCCTTTAATTCCTCCTCCATCCTTTCTTCCTGAAAATTGTTTTGTTGCACCGGTCCTTCCTCGTCCATCTTTTTCTTTCCCTTGCCTCTATTTTTTAATTCTTCCAGTTCCCTTCTCAAGAATGCCATTTGCTTTCCCGTCTCTCCCAGCTCTGCATTTATTTCGTTTAACTCTTTTTTCTGACTATCCAGCAGCATTTTCATCCCCATCATTCCACTATCCTCGAGTGGTTGATAATCCGAAGCTCCCTTTCCCTCCTCCCCCATCTTCTTCTTTTCCTCCCCTTTCTTCCCCTCCTTCCCTTTCTTCTTCAATTCTCCCCCCCTCCTTCTCTTGTCCGTCTCTGCTCTCTTCCTCTCTTCCATCTGCACTAAACCTCTGACATTTTTTTTAATCATTATGGAACTGTCTTGGTCTTCCTCATTCCCTCCCTTGTCTGTAATGGCCCTGGTCTCCCCGACCAACAACTCCACCTGCAGCCGATCCAATACCTTCTTCAACTCATCCTCAAACTTCTCCATATTTATTTTCACTTCTGATTTGTGATTATTGATGTTTGTCAGAAGTTGTGCCAAAGATGCGTGAATTATTTCCGACATAACTTGATTCGAGTCCGTCGATGTACTCCCTTCAACCATTGCTATTGAGCCTACACGGACGTTAACACAAACAAAGCAAACGAACAAATGTATTTAAAGGACCAGAAGTCAAAGAATAGCAAACGAGGCTCACAAGACCTGATACAAACTCGTTCACACCTGATTTTTTCTGTTTGAATATCCCTCATCGAACCCTCACCTTGACACAGACCCTTGACCCAAAGTTTTGAGGCAATAACCTAGATTACTTTAAGCATGACGACCACATCTCTGCATCTAACCCTGTTTCAGACTTGTGACACAGACCTTGACATGTTGATATAAAGCATGACCAGTACATCTTCAATGCACACCTTGATACAAACCTTTGACGAAGGGGCCCAGAACAACTTAATCCATACCGTTACGACCAGAACAACCCTGTTTCAGACTTGTGACACTGACCTTCACATGCTGATATAAAGCATGACCACTACAACTATATTGCACACCTTTATACAAACCTTTGACCAAATGGCCCAGAATAGACTAACTTAATCCATACCGTTACGACCACAAATATAATATAAACCCTAAAAAACAAGGTAGTTAACGAAATTCATTGTGATGCTTAACGAGTTTTATCTTCTTTCCATGCAAAAACCAGAATCGTTGACAAACCATCGAGCAATGTGAAAAACAATATTTTTCTCATTCAGCCATGTCACAACATTTTCATTTAAGATCACAATAACATTGACTATGCTTTGTATAACAGGTTATCGATGTTTGTGAAGGTCGTACCTTTAGTCTCAAGAGATTGTTTTGTGTCATGAGGCTGAAGGTATAAACTTGACAAACATCAATAAGAACATGCCAGCCAAAGCATAGTCAATGTTGTTGTG